TCTCTCTCTCTCTCTCTCTCTCTCTCTCTCTCTCTCTCTCTCTCTCTCTCTCTCTCTCTCTCTCTCTCTCTCTCTCCCTCTCTCTCCCTCCCTCCCTCCCTCCCTCACACTGTATTGCTGATGGGGAGAATCAGCTTCGGTTTATGTAATGAGGCTTTCATCGAAGATGGTGTGCTGGTAAAACCCACATGATCTTGTGTGGATTAATGCAGTTGTGCCAGGATTATCATTGGGATCTCAAGTTTAATGCTCACTGTAGAATGTCCACTGAAATTGTTCCCACACTTGTACCCAACTTTTAAAAAGGTCATATTCAAGGGCAGCACTACTACATTTAGAAGGTTAAAGATCACTTCCGTTCAGAAAAGCTAAAGTGTGATGGTCCCGTTCCATTAAATCAAATTTTGCCTCTCTTGAAAAATAATACAGTTCTATCAAACAATCATGAAAAGCTGTAGCAGCAGCAAATGTGTTGGTTTTTATTTTTAATATGGTAAATATTAAATATAACTTGTATAAACAAAAGCTCTTTTAGGCTCCTCCAGCATTTTTTAAAGTGCAGAAGGTCCTGAGAGAGAAAAATTAAGAATCACTGATTTAAGGTATCAATCAGGGCCTTATCCCCCTACCTTGAATCTAGCAAGCCTTTGCAGAAGCTTAGATAGTTCTAGAGTCTAGACTAATAGAGACCAGTAGTTAAAGTACCTCATTTCCATTGTTCATTGGGAGGGATTCAAACTTGCAAGCCAAGGCTTTTGAGTCATAGATGCTTTTCCCACCTGCCTTTAACTATGGTACATATATCCCCAACATCTTTATTCTCTCATGTCCCAATGATGTATGTATTTATGTACTCTGTGTGTGTGTTTATGTTCATTTATAAAATGTATTAACCATCCATCTTACTTCAGGGTATCTCTTGGCAGCTTACATTCATAAAAACTGTGCAAAAATAAAAGCACAAATAAAATACTACACACAGGCAATACAGCAATTGGAAGATGGGGAGAGCAAGAGCAGGATGGGAGAGAGGTGGGATCTATTGTTAATCAACCCCTACCTGTGATTCTACTGTAATGCTCCCCTATTGGAGTCCGAAGTTAACTGGCAGAGCCAGGTCTTTGAAGGTGTTGCCTTCATTTCGTCATCAACTTGTGTATTAGACAGCCTTAAGCAGTCCTTGGTTGTGATAGACCAGCAGTAATCAGTACCAGTTCTGGGGAATATCAACTCTGATACCATTCATGCTGTCACTAAGCCAGTCACATGTCCCACAAGACACAAGGTCCATCAGTGTCTGTTGGCTATCTCAGGCTGATGTAACACACCTCTTCCCCTTTCATCCCTGGGTGCTTTCTTCCAATGTTGTTCCATTTTTCTCCTCCGGATGCAAGGAACTACAGAGGAGCTAAGTTTTGAATGAGTCACGCTCTCTTGGAAACTTGTGACAAGGGTTTTATGAAAGCCTCAATTTCTGGAAACCACATTGAGCAGCTATTTGTCGGGCTTGCCCATACACATGTTTATAATAATTTTAAAAATTCTTTAGAAAGCCAGCCTCCTGGTGAATCTATTGGATAGTTCAGTTGACTTGCTGATGAGCGCAGTTTTGAGAGAACTGCACTTTCATGCTGTTGAAAAGGTGTGGGGAGGCTGGAAATTAGAACCAAGCTATCCTGCTTTCTCCTGCTTCACCATCCAAGGCTTCTCATCAGTTCTGCAAACCCTCTGAAGAGTTCTTCATTGGGGTTCTCGCACATCAAAAGTAACAATGTGATAAAAGGTAACAATAAAGGTTCCCCTCGCACATACAGTATGTGCTAGTTGTTCCCAACTCTAGGAGGTGGTGCTCATCTCCATTTCAAAGGCAAAGTGCCAGCGCTGTCAGAAAATGTCTCCGTGGTCATGTGACCGGCATGACTAAACACTGAAGGCGCACGGAACACAGTTATCTTCCCATCAAAGTGGGTCCCTATTTTTCTACTTGCATTTTTACATGCTTTCAAACTGCTATGTTGGCAGAAGCTGGGGCAAGTAACAGGAGCTCACTCTGTTACGCAGTGCTGGGGATTCGAACTGCTGAACTGCCGAGCTTTCTTAATTGAAAAGCTCAGTGTCTTAGCCACTGCGCCACTGCGTCCCTCTCAACAATTTGATAGTCATTAGCAAAATAAGGATAAAACAGGAGCTGCATCTCTTGGCCAAATAATAGTTTCCAGCCCTTTGCATGGAACAAGTGGGAGAAAGATGTACAGGAAACCTAAATGTTAATTGTTACACAGTGACACAATTTCATAGCTTCATAGGTTTGCTACATTAAATCTTTCTGATCTTTGTGTTCTGGGAAATATATTGTTATTACATTTTGCATTCAGCCAATTACAGTAATCTAGCAACCTTTTCATATTCTTTTCACAAAATGCAAACTTTGAGTTTTCTTGACCCAGACTATAGCAAACTGACTCTCTTGTCATGCCTTTGACTGCTTTAGCACTGAAACCAGAGGTGGATTGCCAATTTTTCTACTACTGGTTCGGGCATGCTTGTGCGCAGAAGCGTCCAGGTGGGTGGGCGGTGGCTCCTGCCACCGCTACTACTGGTTCGCCTGATCTGGGCCGAACCGGGAGCAACCAACCTCTGACTGAAATCAAATTATTGTCCTAAATAACTATATGGTGCAAGTCAGAGGTGGGTTGCTAATTTTTTTTACTACTGGTTTGGGTGCGCTCCCGGCGCGCGCACACACACACAACACTTCTGCACAGAAGCTTCTGGTCAGGTAGGCAGAGCCTCTTACTGCCGCTACTACCGGTTCAGCCGATCCGGGGCAAACCGGCAGCAACCCACCTCTGGTTCAAGTAAGGAACCAACTAGCACACCGAATAGGACGCATTCAGCAATTGTCAGATTCTGCACAACTTCCTGTGACAATGTTGCTTTGATCCTGGAATTCCTTGCCAGATATAACTTATGATGCTCCGAAGACCCTTATTGCTCTATGACAGGGCTGTCAAACTCACAGACCGCAGGCCAGATGCATCACACACTGGCCAAGCCCATGCCCAGTTTAGCAAAGGGGGAAAAAGTTGTGATACATTGCGTGATGCCACCATGATGTGCGTTTGACACCCTTGCTCTATGAGATATATTCCTGACAATATCAGTTTTCTGAATTTTATTACTAACATTGGTACTGTATTTGTAAACGTTAGTGCCTTAATTTAACTCCATCTTAGAGAAAGTCTCAATTTTATATAAATTTTTTAGTATCTGTAGTTACAAATGCCCGGGTTTCTAAAATAGCATATGTCTGTCAAGTGCTCGTATCTCCTTCGTTATCGAAGCTGTTTAATTCTGCTGGATCATTGAAGGTGATGAATGGAAAGTTCTGAACTGTAAATAAGATCAACCATAGTTTGCTGCTTTCAGATCTTCAAAACCTAAGGACTGGAGATTTTTACAATTTTAAAATTGTTTTATCTATCTTCAAAATTAATTTCTTGTCCTGTAGCTTTAAGGTGCTGAAAAAGGGAGGAAGTGGCACAGTGTTTAGAGTGCAGTACTGCAGGCCACTTCAGCTGACTGTTAGCTGCAGTTTGGCGGTTCAAATCTTCCGGCTCAAGGTTGACTCAGCCTTCCCTCCTTCCGAGGTGGGTGAAATAAGGACCCAGACTGTGGGGGCAATATGCTGACTCTGTAAACCGCTTAGAGAGGGCTGAAAGCCCTATGAAGCAATATATAAGTCTAACTGCTATTGCTATTGTTTTTTCTTTTTTTCTTACTGCGTTCTTGTGTTCTACGATGTGTGCATTTATTCTCCTGTTCGTTTGTCCAATGTATGTTGCAG